GCCCTGCCGGTTCAGCCTGCCACCCCACCTCCCCTCACTCCCACCCCGGGCCGAGGGAGAGCCAGCACTCCAGCATCCCTCAGCTGCACGGGCTGCCCACACGGACTGTTTGCCTGGGGCAGCATCTGGCCCCAGCAGATATTTTTGTTATAAAAAAAGGTAAAAATGTATTAAAAAAAAAAAAGTTAGAAGCCTCCCATGGTGTTAGCCCTCTCCGCTGTCCTTGCGCAAAGCTGTGAGGCAGGAAAGGGCACCTGTGGAGCTGGACCCACAGTGGAGAGGGGCGTGCAGGGACCCCTTCCTGACTGGCAGAGACAGCATCGGCCTTTGTGCCCTGGGCAGAGCTCCAGAGCAAGCAGTGCAGGGCTCCTTGCACAGCCCGGCCCTGCCCTCCATCGCTCTGGGACTTCTTCCTCCTTTTATTTGTGCAAAGCATTGTAAAAACATAGCCGCGGCTTGGTAGGGCTGGAGAAAGGCAGAGATGAAGGTGGCAGAGCCACTGTTTCCTTGCTGGTCAGCCCCACCCAGCTCCCTGCCAGCTCTACCATAGCTGGAGCAGTCCCAGATCCATGGCTGCCTCCCACCTTTCCTGGTGGCTCCAGGGCAGCTGGAGCCAAGCCCCAGGGTGCTCTAGGGCCACGCCAAAATGAAGCGAAACAGGCCAGGTCTGGGAAAGAGGAGGAACCTGCAGGTCGCCAGCTCTCAATAGCCTCCACCCCAAAGCAGTAAAACTAGGGCCCAGCCCGTTAGGATGGACAGAGCAGGAGCAAGACCTCCAGGCAACTGGGGTCAGCAACTGCCAGACCCTCCCCGCCAGTCACACCAGCACAAGCCACTGCCACCACTGCTGCAGGGTGCTTGCACCCTCCCCACAAGGGCAGCGCCGCTTGTCTGTGGTACTTCTTTTTATTGGTATAAAAGCCCACTGTGGATAGAACTGCCTTCCCAGCCCTGAGCCCGATGGCAGTTTCTCCCTTCCAGCCCTGTGGCACAGCATCAGGGCTGCTGCCCGCCTGAAAATCCCCCTCCAAGTGCAGGAGAGGGCAATGATCCATTGGAATGGCCCCTTGAACCCCCTCCCCAAGCTATGCCGGCACCAGCTGAGGGACTGCATCTCCTCCTGAGCCTCCACCACCCTCCATGTCCACTGGGCCCTTTGGGTATCATCTTTTCCCTGTCCTCCTCCCGTCCTGGATGCTGTCAGTCCCCTCGGGTCCCTCAGCACCGTCGTCCCTGCACAAGGATGCCGGCTCACTGCAGCTACCGCAGTCCAGCGCTGGGGCCGCAGCTCCCAGGGCAGCGAGGCTGGGCAAAGAGGCGGAGAAAGTAGCACCACAGCGGTCAGCCCTGACCCAGAGCACGGCCGCTTCCTCCATCCTGCGATGAGGAGGTGATGCAGGCCACCCCCCGGCACAGGGGACAGCACATCTTCTGCAGTGGGGGGGAGAAGCGATGGCTTTCTTTGGGTTCAGGCATCTGGCAGTCCAAGGTAGCATCCTTCCCAAGCAGGCTAACTGGGGCTCTGCTCGTGGCAGGGCCAGCAAAGCCGGGTCCCCCAAAATTGAGCTGTTCTCCAGGGGCTCCCA